AGGTTCCTCAACGTGTGAATTGAACCTGCGAATTTTTCGTGCAATTTGAACCAAATATAATGATACTATCAAAAGTAGGGCTTGTTGGGTTTTTTTAGGTAACTGTTTTACGGCGCTCGCAACTGAATATGGTCATACGAGCGCGCAGGTCATATTAAACATTTTTAGTTGGTAGGAAATTTTGGACTTTGGTGTGGTGGCGGCCGAAGCCTACTCTTATCGATTTTAGACTACCAATTAGGATCTTTAACGTGCGCAACTTGCACACGCTAAAGCGGAACTGAACAATTTTAAGTTGTTTAAATATCAGTGCAGTTGGGCAGTTGGGATCTCCTGTTAAGAACATTTTCTCAAGTACTTGCTCTATCTTTTTTTTTCTCCTGCTTTCATAGCTGAATTTACGGAGCGGAATCCATGGTAAGGTACATAGTTACGTAGCACTCAGACAAGAGGCGTGGGAGTGAATGCTGATTTATCTTACTTTGGAAACAACCATAAGACCAAAAGAGACTTCATACTCTCAGAAATAAGGTTCAAGTGAAGAGTCGCTAAAGTTCAAGTCTTTGAAAATGACCGATACGATTGAGATAAGTTGATTTATAAGTTGCTCAAATCTGTTCGCTTACTGTATGTTCACACAAGACTAGTTCTGAGTGTGTGGACAAAGCGTTTACGAATCAGAAACAAAACAGTAGAAAGGCAATCCTGGGACATGTTGGTACAGAGGAATGACAAACATATTAATTAAATGGTCGTTTTTAAGCCCAAGGGGGCTATGCCAAAAATTGCTGTTTTGAGAAAATCGAAGGTAAAGTTTTCCCCTTTTGTTCAGTTTCTTTCAAGATGAGGAGAGTTTTTTTTATAACCAAACAAGCATAAACACCAATGAAACCATATTCCTATTGGTAGGGCAATGCCCATTTTTGGTGTAGGTCAAGATTTCTGGAAACCCCCGGAATCTGGGTTAGCCCACTTGTCCTTAAAAGTGACCAAATATAACTCAGAATATAACAACACTTGACACAACAGCTCAAAACACAGTTTGTTATGAGGCTAAAATAGCGCGTAAGCAAGGCAAATGGTGGTCAGTCTATAAATAAATTATGAATGGTTCGGGTTCGATAAGAAAGCATGGCGGTTATGGGTGCCCTTCACCTTACGTAACCTGCAGACGATGATGAATATGCATCAGAGCCCACAGCACGTTGCAGAGAGTTTCGTCAGATTTCCCTTAATACATAGTTTGATTTGATACTTTTTAGGACTGCCAAGTTTTCCTTCATGGGGGGAAGGGGCGTGAAAAGCTACCGTTTTTGGCACAATTTGATCAGAACCTTCTTTCTTTTTTTTAATTTATTAATATTTTTTTTTGCTAAGAGTTTTGCGGCGCTCGCAACTAATATCTTGAGGGATCTTTAA